GTTTTGGTTGTGCTAAAGTTTCAATTTCAAGCTCAAGTAGAAGTCAGCATTTTTGAGAGTGCCTGATTTGACACTCATGGTTCATACAGATTTCCATAGAAAGAAAAGCACCATTTAGCATCTACTTTTAAGAATTTGTATTTTACACTTCCTCTGTAACATATGCGCGTATCTACAGTGTCTACTGGCAGAGTTGTTCAAATCTCTAAATATTACCAGTAAACATTTTTTTAGCTGGGAGGGCTGCTAATATGCAAATGAATTGTTCTCCTAAACCTGACAAAATAGTCAACTTGTACCTACCCTGCTTTACAAAAATGGGAGGGGGGGGGGGTCTGTGGGTCATAGGCTTTGTCTAACCATGCCAACGAGTGGCTTCTAAATGTGGTTAGTCTGCTATTAGCAGAGTTGTTCTTTATGGATTTCGTCCTGAAAGAATAAGCAACTAGAGATGAGCACTCCTGGGTTCTCTGCCACGTGGGGGGATCGGGGAACATCCATCCCACCTCTGTTCCATCCTGAGATGATAATCGACAAACACTGGCTTTTAGCAGTAGCTGTGAGCTTATGAAAACCTATCTGTCAAACAGTTGAAGGAAATCTGCACTACGCAAATATATAGGCTGCCATTTCAGAGTGCCATTTCTGAAATTATACTTAAAGTAACTGTAAAGGCATATATTTTTTAAAATAACAAACATGTAATACTTTCCTGCTATGTGCAGTGGTTTTTCATAGAGCAGCCAAGATCCTTGTCTTCTCTGGTCCTCTGCCAGTGCTCCTGGCACCTCCCCCCCTGCCAAGTGCCCCCATAGCAAGCTGCTTTCAATGGGGGCTCCTGAGATGCTCCTCTTTGTGACCATTCACACACAGCGGTGGCTTGGACCTGCCCCCTGCTCTCCCCTCATTGGTTTACTGGCTACGACTGACAGTAGCAGGAGCCAATGACTCCCACTGCTGTCTCAGCCAATGAGGAGGGAGAGACCTGAGACAGCTGAGGCTCTTGTGCACATCGCTGGATCGAGATGGGGCTCAGGTAAGTCTACTCAGGGGCATAGGAAGTCTTAGAGCTTTTTCACATATGAGGTCAATGGGTGGTAAAATCAGGGGGTTGAGTACAGTTAAACAAAGATACAGCCACTCACAGCATCGTGGGTGTGGCAAAACTTAAACAGCATGTAGCTTTTAGCGGTAGCTGCCTCTACTGAACGCAACACAGTCAGTTCTATAGGACTGCACTGGAAGTGCACCACAGCCACGTGAAATGTATACATTTGCAGAGCAGTAGTATGGCAATTATAGGGTTAAATCAGGTGGTGAGGTGGCGACATACTGCCTCCTCACCGTCTGTCAAACATCTCTGAAAAGTGATCCGAGTGTGGATTGCTATTTAGAAGAGCCGCAGTGCCTGTCACGCTTGTGAACAAGCCCATAGTCACTCAGGACATTCAAAAGCAGTCCAACTAAGGGGTGGGCAACACAAAAAAAAAGTGTACTTGCAGCTCAAAGGGCTATCTGAAGGACCTTATGCCAAAGCTGGAATCAGATGAGGCAGCAGAAACACTCACTTGTTAGAACCTAGAGATTAACAGAACAAAAGGCAAGCTGGCAGCCTTAGAAACAGCTGCCTGATGCCAAAAAGCCCAAGGAGGCATTGACCTAACAGAGTAAGCTTTAACAGAAAAGGGGAGAGAACCAATTTTTGACACCATAAGCCTAAATGATGGTCTGTCTGAACCACCTAGAAGAGAAGCTGGGGCACCCTTATGGAATGATAAAAAAGGCATCCGTCTTTTTGAAAGAAGCAGTGGCTTAGAGGTAGACTCGCATATCCCAAACCAAATCCACACAATGGACAGCAATTTCATTTGATGAATCAGAGCCAGACAAAGGAACAGAAAAAAAAAAATCATCTTATAAATTTGGACCTTTTCCTGTATGTGAAAGTTCCCTTTATCATCTCCCCTTGGGCCTTTTGGGAAACTAGTACATTTTGCTTGGTGGTACCCACTGCCTAATTTCTTGCCTAAGCAAGAATGACTTCCCCTCGGCCTACCTCAAGTCGCCCCTCTCAATTCTGCTTCCAACATCCCAGGAGACCAATCTCACAGCAGGCCATTGTCTTGACAATGTAAGGGACCAGCTGTGAGTCAGGAAGTGACAGCTGGATCTCTATGCCAAGATGATGGTGTGGATGATCCAAACTCCTGAGAAGAATCACCTGAAGCAGAAGACAGTGCTGGAATTCATGGGCTGCTAAATATCTGTTTCTTAAAAGTTAGCAGTCAGGGTATTTGATTGCTGCTGACATTTACCCTTTACATGCAGGGGTTCTTCTTTAGGATTTCCTCTATATGATGAAAGGCAAAACTATCTTAGGCAGGAAAGAACTCCTGGACTTTGACATCACCTTTCGCTATGCATGACCAAAAAACGTTGCAAGATAAGGCCACAGTTCAAACACTTGCTTGTAAAGGTTATAGCTACAAGGAAAACAACCTTGTGAGTGAGCTTAAAGGAAAGAGAAATGTCTCCAATTGGTTTTCTGAAGCACAGAGAGAATCTGATTCAGATCCTATGGAGTCACAGTGGAACAGCTGGGGGAGCCCCATGGCAGACCTCCTGTCCAAAAGTCCAAATAAAAGAGTGAGAGGCCAATGATCTCTGAAACAGAATGGAAAGTACAGACACTTGCCTTCTGATGGTGCTGAGAACCAAACATTAGTTCAGACTCAGCTGCAGGAAGGAGAGGATCTGTCCCATGAAGAAACTCCTGGAATGAAACCCCTTAAGACCCAAACCAAGTGAAGTATGCTTTCCATGCTCTATTATATACCTTGCAGGAAGTGGACTTCCTAGCATTGAGCATCATAGAATTCACAGACTCAGATAAATCTGTTCTTCAAAAAGCATGGGCTTCAACAGTCATGGTGTTAAATCCAGTGACACAGGACGAAAGATGGCAAATTGGCAGATGGTCTGGCATAGCCCTTAATGCATCGGCTATAGGGGTCGATGTATCACATTCACCTAGGCTAATCTGAGGCACTGAATATCACCAGAATGCCCTCCATCTTGATCCTGTGGAATGTACTGATACCACAAGGCCACCAGTGCATTTTTTGCTACCATCAAAGGATCCCTGCACCTGGATACAAGCCAGACTAGTTGGGAGCCACAGAGTCCTCATCCAGTGTATCCTACTTGTGACACAGGTCCTGAAACACCACCATATGTCGGGACCACTCTCCTAGGTCCAGAAGCTGTCAGCTGAGAAAACCTGACTGCTAGTTGTCTACGCCTGGTAAGTACTTAGCTGACAAGGCTGGAATGTGCAGTTCTGTTCTGGAGAGGATTTCTTCTGCCCTCCTTGCTATGAGACTTGTGGATCTTTCCTGATCGTTGATGTACAACATTGCCTCAACGTTGTCTGACTTAAACTGGACCTGGTGCCTGTTGTGGGAATATTTCAAAAGAAAAGGGACTTCCCTGACCCATGAGCCAGACTCTTGAGCCATCAAGCCAGGGAGAGCCTAGTCCTTGGTGTCTACTGAATCAGCCTGCCCAGAGACAGGAGTGGTGTGCCCCACAATAACAGAATATAGCATTTTAGACATCTGGAGTAACACTGGGAAAAAGGAACCAGTTACTATCAGGCTTAGGACTCTCATGCAGACGTTTAAAGTCCATAATCTTCTGGACCTGAGATTGAAGAGTATGCCGCTTCTCCTGAGAAAAAACAAAACTCTGGGCCGAGACGCGTCCAAGACCAGACCCCAATACTCCAAGCAATGAGTCTGTTCCTGCAATTTCTGAAGGTTCACAATCCACCCAAACAAGCCAATAGGGAGATGGCTTCATAGTCTTCTCCTTAGAGTTCTTCTGTTTAGGAAAATGGGTGACCTTGCCAACAGTAGCATCCTTGGTATTATCAAGAGGTGCTTTGCTTCGAAGGATATGTGGATCAAATACATCTTGCAAGAGAGCTCTGCAATCCAGCAGTGTAGTCAAAGTGCCCTAAGCATATGCACTGATAGGATATATATGCAAGAAATAAAACAGGAAGCTTCCACTAAACAGTTACAGATGAAATGTAACACTATCAATTGCAGAGGTGGTTAGATCTTTTTTATTAGGGGTTTTGACTAAGTCAGATTGTTTGGCAAACAAAGGTCACAGCTAAAATCGGGTTCAGAGCGGGAGAGGGGGGCAGAAATGGTGGGCATAGTTGGCATTCTAGAAAAGTATCTATGACAGGCCCATTGGCTAGATTACCCCCCGTAGCACTAGAGGATTACTGTTGCGTTTGAGTGCATATGTGTGCATGGGGGGGTCAGAGGATGGAAGATTTCCATCCTGGCACCAGCAAAAGGGACACTTCTCTTTTTAATTTAAACAAAAAAAAAAACTTAGACTTTAAAGGTAGCTGCATCCTCCACTGTTATGGTAGACATGGCTGGATCTACAGTATAAAATACAATTTCTGAACAGAATCCTCACAAAACAGATACTAAAGCCAGCAATTGGGAAAAAAGGGAAAAATTAAAACACGCCTGATATTTAGCAGTGTCTTTCTGCTAAACATTGATCTACTAAATATCACAATAAAGACCTGTAAAGGAAGAACTGACTTTCATCCTCTATCAGACACTCTCCAACTCAGACTGTACTCAGACTGTGTCATAGTAGAAGTTATTGACACTCACTCATTGATCTATTAGCTCTTTGGCTTGAGTGGAGTTGACAGGTGTCATTGTGACCATCATCACACCGTGTTCCTTAGAAAGTGACAGGACTCGAGAGAATGGTTGGCCCACATAATATGAACAAGCAGATCAGGATATGCAGTCAGCTGTCTTCCCACATTGAGACAGATTACGTACCTCTAACCATGAAACACATTAATCAAAGCAGAGTTCCTGAAGCTTCAAAGGACTAAAAAGTCAGAACAAAGATGCAATATTTCTCTATGCAAATGTGCAAAAGCAGCTTTTAATCACCTGTACTGTTTGGTAGTCCGATGGATTAAAAACCTTTGACAGTAATTTCCCGGAAAACTTTTTGGCTCTTCTGTATCTTTGGTCAGGTCATAGTGATAAATTATGCCTAAAACAAGAGTTTAGGAACATCAGCTTGGTACACACAGATCACAGGAAGAACAATGGTCTCAAAGCATTATAAACTCATAATGAATGACAAAAGCTGCAGAACACCAATAAACGGCCTTGGGTATATTTACACAGTGAATAATTTATAAGCACTTATTCAGAGGAAAATGAATCCTGCCATGAAAGGTGGCTCAATTATTCCTTATAAGCAGTTTAAAATGAGCCAGTTACTGACAAATGTAAATGTTTTTACGTTTCAGAATATAAATCAATAACTAAAATCTAACTAACAGATTCCACAAGTGCATCTTGCTAAAGAATTTTAATATTTTAATCATAAAATATTTTCCTAACAGGCTCTTCACAAAATTCATACACTTTTGAAAATACATATTTGTGCTGCAGTAATAAAAACAAACTGCTAGACAACTGCATAACTGTTTTCATTACAGACTATGCAAAACTACATGACTTAGCCCGGGTTCATACTGAATACGACTTTGAATGCATGCGACTTCACTTGAAGTTGCACAATTTCAAAGTCTGATGTCAGTATGACTTCAGGTGAGACTTGTAAAACATATCTATGCAAGTCGCACCTGAAATCGCCAAAAGTAGTGCAAGAACCACTTTTCAAATCGGTGCAACTCCAACTAAGTCGTAGTCAAACTGAACGGTTCCATTGCTGATCATTGAGAACTGTCAAATCGCATGACAAGTCAGATCAGTGTGAACGGAGGCTTACTGTAAGTTTAGCTCCCATTCAACAGGATGGTGGTAGTCTCCCCAGTATATCCTCTATTTGACAACTGCATTATTGCATTTCTTTCTTTTAGCCTTTTCGCTGCTAGAGCCATTTTTGCACACATTATTAAAAAATAATTTTAGGCCTGAAGATTTCATAAAACCCCAAAACATTATACATTTTCTAAAAGGAGACACCCTAAAGAATAAAATAATGGTAGTTGCAATTTTTATGCCACTCAATATTACTGTAAACGTCTAGGAAATGCAAAATTTCAGGGAAAAAAAAAACAGTTAAGTTAATTTTAGGGCACACAAACAGAATAAATTACGCAATTAATTGGTAAAATATAAGAGGAGGTTGTACCGAGTAAATAGATACCAAACATATCGAACCTTAAATCTGCGTGTTCCCGTGAAATGGCGACAACTTCAGTACCCTATATACCTTCAATACTCTATTTTTCATAGGTGACACTTTAAAAGCTCCCTATAGGTCAACAGTTTGGCGTTACAGAGCTCTGGTGCCAGAAATATTGCTCTCACTCCAGCATGCGCGGCAATATTCAACATGTGTATCGCAAAAGATGTTTGAATGCATAGCCATCTCCAACGCATGTGTTTACATTCCTACATGCATCTAACTTTTAATAAAAAAACCCTTTTCATAGTGGCTACGTGGTTAGCACTTCCACCTAGCAGCACTCGGGTCTTCAGTTCAAATCTCAACCTTGACACTACTTGCCTGTGTGTGTTTTCTCCGGGTACTGCGGTTTCATCCCACACTCTGGAGACATGCTGGTAGGTTAATTGGCTCCTGCCTAATTTGGCCCTAGTGTGTGTATGAATGTGAGTTAGGGACCTTAGATTGTATGCTCCTTGAGGGCTGGGACTGATGTGAATGTATAGTATATATGTAAAGCACTGCATAAATTGAGAGCGCTATATAAGTGCCTGTAATAAATAGATATTTTTTTAATTCAGCAATAGACACAAACAAAAAGTAATTGGCCAATCAAGTCTAACACTTCTCACTCTGATTATGCTTCAGTTTTTAATTAGCATTATTAGGAGACCATAAACACAGAAAGAAAATTAAAATACTTAATCGTTCATCAAGAATACAAAAAAGGCTAAGTTCCCTTTTTTTTGTCAATTCCAGCTCCCCTATGTACCAAAATACCATTAATGTACTTCTTGTGCAGAAATAAAAAAGCTTTCTATTTACCCTACACACCCCTTCCTTCAGTGTCCAGCTGGCTGTATAAAAAAAACTTCTCCATTACTTCCTGGACAGACCTTAGAAGGTGACACAGGAAAGCGTTCACCAGCTAAACTGATTAGTACCCACCCTGCATCTGCCCTCCCCCCTTCCAGCAGATCACTAGCACCCACCTCCTCAGGTGCATGCTTTTCCAGTGCAGTCAGTGAATACAGTTCTCACTAAATACACAGCCATAGATCGTTCATTTGTCAGAGTGTACAGGAGCGAAGCAATCAGTTCACTTCCTGAAGACCCTGCTGGGCGAAACGTATGTCGAAGCATCAATACGACACATCTGGGTCTGGGGACAGAGAATTCAGCCATATCGAAAGCGAGGCTTGGAGCGCACGTCGGCCATCTTTGACATTCACAAGCTGCAGATACTGGTGCTGATACTACAGGCACCACTCGATGTCAGTGCAAAATTGTTTGTTTTTGCTCATAATGTTGAATTAATAAAAGCTACACTTAGAAAGATTTTATATCGGTCTGGTTTATCTGAGCGGCCCGGCACCACATCTCCTTAAAGTGGAGCTCCACCCAAAAGGGGAAGTTCCGCTTTAAGGACTGCTCCCCAGGATTGGCACCTTTGGGGGGCGGGGGGGGGGAGCGGGTACCCGAATTTGACAGGTATCCGCTCCCACTTTCGGTCTGATCACCTAGGCGATCAGAAATGGAAGGTGTCCTCCTTCCCTCCCTCCCTGTAGTATTTTGGGACATGTGACAGGTCCCAGAAGACTACAGGACCATTCACAAAGCGCAGCGCTTCTCATGCATGCGCAGTGGGTACCCGGCTGTGAAGCCGCAAGCTATCATGGTCGGGTGCTCACACTGAAGATGTCGGCCTCCTGGAATACAGGACAGCCAGTGAAAAGAATGGCGGGGGGACACACCACAGGACTGAGGGACAGGTAAGTGGCTGTTTTTTTAAAAGTCAGCAGCTACAGTTTTTGTAGCTGCTGACTTATTTTTTGACAGCGTGAGTGGAACTCCGCTTTAAGGATTAGCCTGCATTGTATTACCTAGATGAATTGGAGAATTTGCTGAAAATCCCATTGCCTTAGCTTTTGGCCTTATCAATGGAGAGCTGCTGGAGGGAAGCAACACTCTAGGAAAGCCTGAGAGGATGGTTCCCTATATGACCAAAATGCGCATCTGACCACCTTAATTGGGGTCAAAAGGTCTGGTGAGTGAGCAATTTATATATAATTTGCCGGCACGTGGTGTAGATATTAAATCACTCACTTATATGGGTTACAGCATAGAGGAATAGAAAAGACTGTCACTTGAAACTCAAAACATGAACTCACTCTTGGACTTTCATTGTCTTTTATATTTTTTTATATAGTCAGTGGGAAATGGAGCACCCATTATAGGTGCAATATATTAAATATAACTGTTCTAGGAGCATGTTGGGAAACAAGGGGCAACTGCATATCTTACACAATTTATAATTTTTGGACACATTAGGCGCCATAATAATAATAATTTTGTAATTTGGCAGAGTGTACAAAAGCGAAGCAATCAGTTAACAGTCTAAGTGGATAGAACTATAGTATTGAAAACAGGAGATGTATATCCTGGGTTCTGTAAAGCTCACCATACACTATGCAATCTGATTGTACAATTTCCTTGAGATCTACCATCAACTATGTAGTGCAAGGGCCTGTCTGATTGGATACAGAGTGATTGGATAGGTGGTTTTGGTAAATCTAAGGCTACATTCATTCTGATACATAGCAAGAACACCAAGGTGCATTTTTTACAGGACACGTGACTCAAAAACCACACCAATGCAACTTGGGTGCGTTTTTTAATGCGGTTTTGCTGTGTTTCCCATTCATTTCAATGGGGAGGTGCGTTTTTACCGTACCAAACTTGCACCAGAAATGCAGCAAGCAGGATTTTAAAAATCACAGAAGACCCGCAACAGATCAGTGCGAAAAATTCTATAGGATTACATGGTCACACATTATTTTTCCCCTTTTTTAAATGCAAAAGCAGAAGAAAAACAGATCAGTGTGAAAGCAGCCTAAAGGAGATTGTACAATCAGATTGTATAGTGTATGGCCACCTTTATACACCTAAAATTACCAAGTTGCACTTTCAGTGACATTAATGGCACACTGAACACAGAAGCAAATACACAATTTGCCACATGAAAAAAAGAGTGAGAAACAAAGCAAAGCGCACAGTAACAAAAACGTGCAACACGCAAAAATGTCCCATAAGCTACTTTGCCACGTGTAGGGCAGCCCCCCAATCTATGGGCTACCCTATGCATGACAAGTGAATACGTGCTGTGCATGGAGTAGGACTTTAGGCAGATAGGCTTGTGCAATAATCTGTGAAAGCCACCAAGGTATAGTGAAGTGAAAAGCAGGTTGGTCCTTATGAGGACCCTCAGGAATGACAAGGAGAGTCAGACTGTCTGAAGGAAGCTGTGGCCGAGAGGTAAACAAGAAAAGCTCACACCACAACTAAGCAATGGAGGGAAAGCTTTGTAGGGTAATAGGATTAGGACAGAGATGGAAGTACAATGTCCAGATTAAAGTGAAAGGCAGCAACCACCTTCAAAACAAAAGAGGCTCTAGGCCGGGAGTCAGCAACCAGTAGATTGTGATCCACCAGTAGAGTGCAATGCAGAGGGACTACTTGTTGAAGCTGTAGAAGGGAGCAAGAGCTGCATAAGTTGATGTGTCCTCTGTAGTGCTGGCTCCTATGCCATCATGGTTGGTGTGTGTAGCACCTGCCAAGCACGACCCATTCAAGTGAATAAGGCAGTGCCCTGCAAACTTGTGCAGTACAGCAAACAAGGGATTAAAGCAGGCAGCAGTGTGTTGCTTTCCTACCATCTGCTTAAACCCCTTGGACACCGCAGAAAAATGCAGTTGTGGGGCAATTTCAGAGTGGCCCCATTTACTTCAATGGGTCTGGACTGACAGGCGGTGGCAACCATCAAAAGCAACAGGGGGTGTAATTCCTGCTGT